TTTATTTAGCCAAGCCCTCCACAAATTTTCACCTCTACGTGAGGCGCTTAATATTGTGCATTTAGTAAACAGTGGGGAGTATTGTTGAAAAATTATTTTAAATATGCAATTTCATTTTCTCCACCATTTTGCCATAAATAATCAAAGTACGAAGACTTGCGTGTATCCTAATTGCGTGCGTTATATTGAGGATATTTTTTCATATATAAAATTATTAAACTTTATTACATTTCTTTGAAGTTCGATCTAATTTAACTTTAGCATTTAAACGAAATAAAATATGCAAATACATTTTTTTAAAAAATTAAGTTTCGATAATCATTGGCCAAGACTAGTTAAATTTGGCCCTATATAAATAAAAATCACTTAAATTTCATTGGCTAACAACTGAAACTTTGATTAACGAAGAACAAAATTTACGCAGAAATATTTAACATATGCTTGTATCATGCTGAATTCTTCAAGGACACAATATGACTTCTTTACAGCTGTCAGCTACATTCCAAGTCCTAGAGATAAAACAAATTATACCAGGCAAACTAATAGCCTTCTTTTAACGCATATGAGGCGAATTTTTTAGAGCATATAGTCTAATAGGCTTCCTTTCATGAACATGTTTCAAGGTAATTGTACGAATCACAATGTTGAAGATATTTATTTATTTATATCAAATGGGAGACGTTTTAATAGACATCATTAGCCATTTAGTTGACTTCAGTCTTCACAGGCGGGAAGGAACATCAAAGTGAAAAAGTCGAGATGAGGGGGGGAACAGAAGACTGTTTCAAAGGTGTAAAAGAGACAGACACTAAGATAGGAAAAGGGTGAGGTGATTACTGTGGAAGTAGTCGAATATAACATAGAGTGGGGTTATGGTAGGTTAGAGTCAGAAGTCAACTGCTGATTTATAGACTTTTTTGCCGTATGAGTATACGTTGCCCAGGGTGTACCACGTGGAGGTAAGTCTATCATACACCCATCTCACTAGTTAATAGACTTTTTTGCCGTATGAGTATACGTTGCCCAGCGGTTTATAGACTTTTTGCCGTATGAGGTCACGTTTCCAAGCCATTTAATAGACTTTTTTGCCGTATGAGTATACATTGCCCAGGGGGTTTCGCACAACGTGGAGGTAAGTCTATCGCACACCCCATTCATTAAATATATCACGGAGGTAAGTCTATCGCACACCCCGTATTTTACCACGTGGAGGTAAGTCTATCATACACCCCATGTTGAAGATTATTTTAAATCTAATAAATGATGTGTAATAGATCTATTTCGCATTCAATTTGAGTTGCAATTATCAGCAGAAGTGACTGGTGGGTGGAATGTGTCAAAGTTAAGAATGCTGCTTTTCTTTTTAGTCCGTGTTGTGTGTACTACAGAAGTCGACTTTTCTCCTTATGTACTCATTCTTTCACCTGCAGGTTGGCACTTGGTCAATGAGTAGTAATTGGGGACGAAAGAGATCTCGACTCTTGATCGACGGAGTCACTTGGCCTGGAGGTGCCAATTCCCCTCCAAAGGGCCGAGCTAGCCGAATCAAGGCCGTTATGTTACAGGAGCAGCCCATGCTCATTTATGGCAACCTCCAGGCACGTTCCCAAGCATGATTATCGAGTTAAATTTATTGAATCAATTTTCATATAAATCTAGTGTGAAATGAGTGTAAATAATTTGCACTTTGAAGGTGAAGAAAGAATGTTGATTGGAATGTAGTTGAATGACTCATAATTATAA